TTGTCTTCCTTTTTTTTACTGCCCAAAGCAGATCTAAGCTCTTTAAATGTAGGAACCAGGCCCCAAGCCGTGTTCCTCCCCATTCCCCGTGGTCCCATGCTATGACCCCTCCCCTCTTGGCGTTCGCACCCTCACGCCCCAGTTAAGAGACCTTCCGCGGCCGGACACTCCTCTCCACGGACTTCTCGGCACCGGGCTTCCACCTGCCCTCTGGGGTCCTGCGATCGTACGTGGGAAGCATCTGGCGCGCTGGCTGAGTCCACGTGACCTGCACAAAAACGGCCACTAACTCTGCTCCGTCACTCCTCTCCAGCCAGCCGCCACCCTCTGTTCTTCTCCTTTTCTCCGTCCCGTGGCAGCGACTGCTGTGCCATCGGTGTCCTTCTCCTGTCCTTCCTGGTCCTGTGGCTCCCCCTCTGTCTCAGGGCCCAGATGTGGGCTCCAGCTAATAGAATGGCAAAGGCCACTTACAGGCGTCCACACAAGGAACCCCACACACGTCCTGCCTCCTCTCTCCCCGTCGACATGGCAGAAGCAGAGGCCTGGGGAGGACGGGTCACATGGAGACGGAGCCTGCTCCTCCCAGAGGGAGCTGGGACAGCGTAACCAGGGGCACAGGAACTGGGCTTCGTGCGAGAGAAGGAGAATCTCTTGTTGGGCCAAGTGCTGCGGGGGGAACTGTGTCCCCTAAAACATGCTGATGTTCTAACCCCTGGTACCTGTGATCACGACCTTATTTGAAAACAGGGTCCTTGCAGCTGATTGGGTTAAGATCTGTCACTAGGGTGGGCCCTAATCCAGTATGACTGTGACCTTATGCTAAGGGAAAACTGGACACACACACACACACACACACACGCACGTGTGCGCACACACACACGGAAAATGCCGCCTGAGGATGAAGCGGGGTGACGCACTGACAAGCCAGGAGCACCAACGATGGCAGCAAACCCAGAAGCCAGGGAGAGGCCTGCAACAGACTCCCTCGCAGCCTCAGAAGGAACCAGCCCTGCCCACACCTTGAACTCACACTCTGACCTCCAGAGCTGTTGCTTAAGCCCCAGGACAGGGTACGCTGTGGCGGCAGGCCCAGGAAGCGTGGACACCAAGCTGCTGAGGTCCTGGTGGAGGCTGTTACTTAGGAATAAAATCCTGACTCCATTCGAGGTGGCACAGAGCCCGGACAAAAGACATTTCCCAGCACTCCTGCAGCTAGGGCGGACGCGAGACTAAGTCTTGCACAACGAGATGAACAGGTGTGCCGGCGGCACTGGTGGGAGGACAGCCTGCAGAGACTGTCTCAGCCACAGGAGCCCTGCCCTCCTGCCCCTTCCCTTCCCCCGGCTCCCAGCCTCCGCGCACCCTGGAGCAGCCTCACGGGCAGAGCCACGAGCCACAGACGCGGCTGGAGCAACGCGGAGAGGACTGCCAGGGGCACGGCAGCCCGGGCGTCCCTCGGGAGGGAAACGCCTTCCCCCGTGTGAGCAACGGCCACTTCGAGTTTCCTGCTACATTTACCGGAACGCAACCCGAACTGACAGAGGGGTTTTTACATGCAGATACGACACGCCAACCCACAGGAACGATCACAGAAAGTGGGCTTTCGGGCACTGTGCCAAGCACGGGGCAAATGTGGGTGCTCTGGAGCGTCTGCCGGGCTTCCCTCAAGCCCCGCAGTCTGAACACGAAACCGCCTCTGAGCCAGATGAGACTCCTACTCTCCTCCCGGGGGTGGGGGCGGCACCAACTCAGCCACATTTAATCTGGGTTTCAAGTTAAAGTGGTGGCTTCAGTCAACATTCTGAAAGAGCTTGAACTCTGCTGACGACGAGAAGCGCAGACACAGGCAAGGGCGGAATGAAACATCCCCGGAGTTTGAATTGGCTACAGGGAAGCCGGAGCTCAAACACAGCTACATTAATAGGCTTGCAAAATAAAGGTGACGAAAAGAATCCTACACGTCGTAATGCGCTATAGACGCCGTCCGGTTTCCGATTAATCAGCACTTTGCGAGATAAGCACAATGGTGTCACCTTCAGGTTCACTGTTAAATTCACGCAGAGAAGAAGGGAACGTGGACACGCGATGCCAGCCTCGTCCCGTGTGCACAGAGCTTTTATCTCCTACCCCGCCGGGTCCCTGCTCTTTGCCTTCCGCAGTCACAGCCACGGAAGTGACAGCTCAACTGCAAACAGCAAAATGCTTCTTAGAAACAACTCCTCGTTTGTGGAGCTGGGCCATGGAACACGATGGAGTCCAGGGTCGCTCGTGTGCAGTACAGACTGGACTGGCTGGTTGACGCAGCTGGTCTACCCGACAGCACAGAGACGTGGTGGTTTAGCTTCCTGGTGGGGAACATCTCACAGCCCTGAGAGCACCAGCATGGTGCCTGTGCTGGAAGACACTGGTAAATTCCTATCTGAACTTCTTTCAAAGAATTGCACCTCACTCCACCTGTACATTACCTTATTTTTATAATGGAATAAATAAAATATTTTCTCAACATTACACATATCTAAGACCTACAGATCTGCTTCATTTTCATTCATGCACAAGCCTGGGAAAACGAGGACGACTTTACCCAGCACCAGGGTACAGAGGGACTCGCCGAATGTTTCCACACACTGGGCTGTCGGGATCCCCCGGGGGGTGACCACATCCGGGCCTGGAGGTGGCTTCAAAGTCAACATGTGTTCTCAAAAGGTAGGTGCTATATTAACCTTTGACTTGAATAGATGAATAATAGCTTCCCCCAAAGAAGTAGGTAAAAGTATTTAAGTGAATGATTTTTATAAGAAGATCCATATATTGTATCATGTTTCTTCAAAGTTTAGAGTTAGTTTTGTGTTTTTATCAGACCATAGATGATGTAAAAAATCTTTTAAATTAGAAATAAATATAGATTCCCAGGAAGTTACAAAAATTGTATAGAGTCCCATGTCCCCTTCTCCAGGGTCCCTCACCAATGGCATCTTCTATAACAACTGTGCAACAGCTGGACCAGAAACTGCCATGGCTACACTGCGGTTAACCAGACCGTAGACCCTAATTCCAGCAGACCATCGATTAGGAAGGGAAAACTCCCCCAAATATGAGAAAATCATCCACGTATTCTTAAACTTTAACAAGCTCTCAAAATGAATAACGCACATTTTCTTAAGGAAAAAAGATGCCAAGTGGAGGCTCCGTGCAATATTTGCATTTTTCCACTGAAAATCACAGTTCGAGTGGCCCAGGCATGAGTATTTCTAGGAGCTTTGCTATGCTGGCGAATGTCTGTCAGGCCCCTGATGCCACGCCGTGGGGGAAGTTCCAGCCCAGCACTGTGGCCTCCTGGAGGGCTCAGGACACCCTGTGCGCCCCAGAAAGGGGCAGCACGTGGCGGATGGGGTGGGGGTGGAACCCAGGCAGTCGCTCCCTACATCTCAGGGACAATGCAGCTATAGGACATGTGGCCTGATTCCCAAACCTTGCAGGTCCCTGGGATGGTCCCCAGGCGAGGCAGGGGAGGATGTCTGGGCAGGTCACTTCTCCACTGGAAAACCAGCCCCTCCTGGGAGGACACAGGAAGGCAGCTCCTTCTCAGTGGTGGCCCCCGACGGCCCCTGAGTTTTGGTATCCATTCAGACATCCACCTCCAGCTTGCTTTCTTTTTTATCCCCCTGGCATTTAAGCAATTTCAAAACCTATTTATTTATTTCTGATTTTATTATTACCTGTGGTTTAATTTTGAACTTCTAATAGTTATTTAATAGCTTGGCAGAATAGTATATCATTATTCGGGATTATTTTCTACATGCTGCCTCTATTTTACCCACTTTGGACACTTGGGCCACTTTCTAAGTGTGTCTACCACGCTCTGGGAGACCCTTCTCCAGCGCTGCTGGCCTCTCCAGCCCTCCCGCCACCGACAGAGGACTCGGAGGACCATTCACACTCGATGTTGAGGTGCCAGGTCACCTCTGTGGTTGGATCCTAAGGAATCACAGCAACTGGCTGTAAGGTTTGACTCTCTGCTGGGAAGGTGGCCCCAGGTATAGAAAGGAGTGGGGGAGGTGGCCAGGGGAGGAAGAAGGGGCTGCCTGGGAGGAGCCCGGCAAGTCTTCACTTCTCAGCCGAGTTGAGTATTGGCCTCTGAGTGCAAACGTCACTTTAAACCCTTTGCAAACACGTATGTGCACGTGGTCACCTGCACTTGTGCGTGTGCTACGAGTTCCTCAGGGGTCTCTGGGGAGGTTCGCCCCTGACGAAGACCCTCTCCCTGACCAGACTTAACCAGGCTCTGCTGCGCCTGCTTCCTGACTAGGCTTCAAGCTGGCCCGTCCTGTCTTTGGCCTGCGACCCCCACCCCGTGCCTGCTCTTGGTCCTTTTCCCCACCGGCTCTCCCTCTGCGCTCCGGCGGTGAGTCCCGCTCGGCCTTGCCGTGTGCGGAGCTGAGTCCCGTCTCTCTCCCCTTGCCACCGGCCCTATCGCGGTGGCCCTGAAAAGTCTTCCCTGCCGATTTAACAAGCATCAGAATACTTTTTCCTTTAACACCCTGTGGCCCCATGGATGTGTGGACCCGCTAGGCCGTGAAGACACCCCGGACCCACAGAGGCAGACGTGCCTCCATGTGCCATTGGGTCTTGGCCCTGGCAGGAGGTTCTCAGAGCGGGGGGATGGGGGGGTCATGCCAGGCTACAGAAGCCCTAGGGGCTGGCCGTGCAAGTCCATCCCGTCTCGGCTCCGTTCAGAGTATTTCAGACAATGACCTGGGTGGCTCTGGAATGACCCTCCAGGCTCAGCACTCGTAAAGGGGTTTCTGGACCCTGTGGCTGGGTCGTGAGGGCCTCAACTTTCATGGTATTCAGTCAGTTCTGGGGACCAGCAGGGCCCATGCCGAACTGCAGGACACGACTCATCTGTTTCTGAACAGGAACGTGTGGGCTGGGTTATCCCATAAAGTATTTTTGCTTCCTTCCTCTGCGCCTCAGGAAGATTTAAGAAAAAGAGCACTTACTTTTGTTGTCCGTGGTGTTGTGCACCGTCACCCTGGGAACTCCAGGACCTGCATCAGGCAGAGAACAGATGCCAGGAAAGAAACAGAAAGGAGGCCGTTAGTTTAGCTGAGAGCAAAAGAAAGGAGGTAGCTTTCCTCCAGCACGTGGACTGGCGGCGTCTGAGAGCCCGACTTCCTGGAGGAGCCACCAGCGAGCGGCTGTCAGAGGCCGGGCGAGGGGCCAGCACAGGCGCGCTCTCCACCCCTGCACCGCGGTAATTACAGCGGACCCGGTTCACAGTATCCACCTGCAGATCATCGCGATGACATAAAACACCATTCTACAAAGCATTACGTTTGGTTATGTCCTTATACCCTCATGTTTATCACCCAGACACAATTCCACGGTGGCTTGGTTGAGTTCTGCTAAATTACTCAAGCCTTGGTGCTAAGTCAGCTTTTTACAAGGTATCTTTGCTGCCTCCTCCAGGAAGGACGTCACTCCGCCCCCCAGCCTCTTAACTCTTTGTAGAAACTTACTAATGTCACAGGAATATTTTGAAAACGTTCAACCATGTTTCATTTTCCCGAGTCACCGGCACGCAGCTCCCAGCCCTGAGAACGCCGCAGTTCCTCCCGGGCATGAGAAGGAAGGTACGACGCAGGACAAAGTGACCCCGATCAACTTTCTCTGTAGGTTGACTTTTTAAATTCTTTTTTGGCAAAGGGAGAGTGCAGAATGAAAACACAAGGAGATTTCTGAATCATTTTTTATCTCTTTTTAAAAACGGATTAAGAGGCTGGACGGGGGACTTTCCCAGCCTCCTCCCTGCAGCTGTCCTCTGCACTCATCCTCGTCCTCCCTGCAGCTGTCCTCTGCACTCATCCTCGTCCTCCCTGCAGCTGTCCTCTGCACTCATCCTCGCCCGCCGCCTGGCCATCCTGCGGGGTCTGAGGCTGGCGAGCTCTTCCCACTGGGCCTGGTGTTCTCTCTGCTGGAAGTGCTCTTTTCCAGACTCTGCCATGGCTCGTCTTTCTCTTCACCTAAGTCTGTGGTCAAACGCCTTCTCCAACCACCCCGACTAAAAGAACACCCTGCATGACCACGCACCCAAACTCTAAACCCCTGCATGACCACACACCCAAAGTGAACCCCTGCAGGACCGTGCACTCAGCTTCCCTCCCCTCAGCTGGCTCCCTTTTCTTTGTGGAGCTCATTGCCACGTCCTATAGTGTCAGGACCTTGCAGCGTGGAACCAGCCCCGTATCTGCTTACTGCACTAGGATGTGAGCTCCACACAGTCAAGCATTTGTCTCAGCAGCTGCTGTTTTCAGCACCTAGGGCAGTGTTCTGAATCGAGTCAGTGCCCAGTTACGTGGCGTGATTGTGAATGAGCGACCACAGAGCGTGCAGGAAGGCAGGGGAAGGAAGCCCCCTTGGCTCGGGTGAACTGCAGAGAACGAAGGGGGAAAGAGGAAGTGGAGGCGGGTGGTCAGAGGGAGACAGACTCCTGTGGGGTGTGGCCGGGGCTGCTGCCTGAGCTCTGCTCCAGGCCGGGAAGCCTGGGATGCTGTGAGCTCACAGGGGCGGCCGTCGAAGCTGGAGGACACGTAATATTCGGGCAGAGGATGGCTGGAGTCTAGAGTCCCCCCATGCTTCTGAGGGATCTTGTGACAAGAGGCTGAGTTGACAGCCAGGGATCCGCTATGGATCCCACCATGGGGAGGGCTCCAAGGCCCAGTGCAGAGGCCGCACAGTGGATGGACATCGCGGTCCATGGCCCAAAGAGGATATGGCAAAAAAGCAGAGTCCTTCACCATTGAGAGGTGAGGGGGGCAGGCTTGGCCAGTGCGTGCCCGCAGGTGCCGACTAAGCTGAGACACAGACTGTGGGTCATGCCAGCTGTGGGCATCAGAGTGGACGCCTGTCCACTGCCCAGGACTGGACCCAGACAGCGGACATCCGAAGTCCCAGTGTCCAGGGGGCCTTTGTCCCATGCTGTGCCCCTCCCCATCTGCTCACACATAGGGTTGCTGGACAAACGCAGGCTGCCTCACTATATGTGAATTTTAGATAAACAAATATTTTCTTCCCATAAATACGTCCCATTCAGTATTTGGGACATACTACTAAAAATTATTTGTGGTTCACCTGAAATTCAAATGTGATTGGGCATCCTGTACTTTTGTTTGCTAAAACTGGCACCCCCTACCCTGGGAGGGAACAGTGATCTGAGAGTCTACATACTTAGACCTACAGAGACAGCATTTACTTGCCAAAGGAGACTTAAACATTGACTGTAGGTTTAAAGTATTAAATCAAACTAAGCTTCTTGGTTCTAAGATCCACTTCCCCCCATGGGGACCCCATGTGGAAGAATAGATCTGTTATTGAAAAACAAAGAACCTACATCTATTTTCTCTGTACATTTTACGGTGAGTAAATTTGCAAACAGAGCATATCCTATGTAATGTAAACAATTTTATTTATTTAGCGCCTGTAAAAAGCACTCTGCTAGATGTTTTATACAAATAATTTCTAATCAAACCCTCACGGCAGCGCTGTAAAGTAGGTGTTGCTAACCACATTTCACAGAGAAGAAAACACAGGTTTGAGAGCTTTAAGTCTTTTGTCTCATCCACAGATTAAGAAAGTTACTGAGCTTGAATTAGTTCCTTTTAATCTTCTAATTAATGAACTTATTGTACATGTTCTGAAAAAATTCAAACACTAAAGAAAGAATAAAGTGACAAGTAAAAGATCTATTTGCATCCTCACTTCCCAGAATAACCTAAATGTTTCTAAAATGTCCTAAAATGTTTGCCTGCACATAATGTGGTCATATTCACACATAGGCACATATTAAAAAATCACATAAAAATACTTGAAAGTATATCTATAAGCTTTATCAAATCTTAACATTATACCATATTTGTCCTAGTTATTTTTTTAGTTTTTTTTTTAAAGTTTGCTTTTTGAAAAGCTAAACAAAGTTACAAACCCTTAGTTTTGCTAAGAAACAAAAGACAAGACTCAAATAAAACCAGAAGTTAAAGAAGATTCATTATAACTGATAACACAGAAGCACAAAGGATCTTCAGAGACTTCTAGGAACAATTTCATGGCAACACGTTGGATAACCTAGAAGAAATGGACAAATTACTAGAAACACATAACTTACCAAGACTGAATCATGAAGAAATTGGAAATCTGAATAGATCAATGAGTAAGGAGACTGAATCAGTAATAAAAAGTCTCCTATCAAAGCAAAGTCCACGATCTGATGGCTTCACTGCTGAATCCTACCAAACATTTAAAGAAGAACTAATACCAATCATTCTCAAACTCTTCCAAAAACCAGAAGAGGAGGGGAGGGAATACTTCTAAATTCATTTTACGAGGCCAGCATTACCCTGACACCTAAACCAGAAAGGTACCGTGAGAAAAGAAAACTATAGGCCAAATATCCCTGATAAACAAAGATGCAAAAATCCTCAACACAATACTAGCAAACCTTATTGAACAGTACATTAAAAGGATTATTTACAGCTCGGTGTGGTGGCTCATGCCTGTAATCCTAGCACTTTGGGAGGCCGAGGCGGGAGGATCTCTTGAAGCCAGGAGTTTAAGACTAGCCTAGACAGGCAATATAGCAAGACCCCGTCTCTACAAAAAATAGAAAAATTAGCTGGGCATGGTGGCACCTGCTTGTAGTCTCAGCTACTCAGGAGGCCGAGGTGGGAGGATCTCTTGAGCCCAGGAGTTTAGGTTTGCAGTGACCTATGATGATGCCACTGTACTTTAGCTTGGATAACAGAACAAGACACTCTCTTTCTCTCTTTTTCTGTCTCTCTCTCTCAACAAAAGGATTATCTACCATGATCAAGTGGAATTCATCACTGAGATGTAAGAATGGTTCAATATACACAAATCAATAAATGTGATTTACCATATTAACAGAATGAAGGACAAAAAACATATAATCATAGCAATAGATGCAGAAAAATTATTTGACAAAATTCAACATCCTTTCTTGATAAAAGCTTTCAACAAAGTAGGTATAGAAGGAATGTTTCTCAATCCAATTAAAGCCATATATGACAAACTCATAGCTAACAATATACTCAACAGGGAAGTTGAAGGCTTTTCCTCTAACATCAGGAACAAAATAAGGATGCCCACTCTCACCACTTCTATTCAACGTGGTATCAGAAGTCCTAGCCAGAGCAATTAGACAAGAAAAAGAAATAAAAGGCATCCAAATAGTAAAGGTAGAAGTGAAATTGTCTCTGTTTGCTGATGATATGATCTTATATATACAAAACCCTAAAGACTCTACCAAAAAACTGATAGAACTGATAAACAAATTTAGTAAAGTTACAGGTTACAAAATCAACATAAAAATCAGTAGTATTTCTATACACTGACAATGAACTATCTGAAAAAGTAATTAAGAAAATAATCTCATTTATAGTAGCAGAAAAAATAAGATACTTAGAAGTAAATTTAATCAAGGAGGTAAAAGACACATATGCTGAAAACTCTAAAACATCGATGAAAGAAATTAAAAGTGACACAAATAAATGGAAAGATAGCCCTTTTCATGTATTGGAAAAATTAATATTGTTAAAATGTCTGTACTACCCAAAG